TCCCACCAGGTGTGCCAAATTTGTTTTCCGGCGAGAAAACTCTTTGCGTTGAATTGAGATTGATTGCACCTTTGACTTCTTTGGACAACGATTTCTAAGACACGGCTCAAACCTCTTCAAACAAAGTTCGAACGAGGGTGTTTGATTGATGGTTTTTGGGAACGAGATCTAAATTAAATTACTTCTACTCCTATGGAGGTTCGGCGAGAGCTCCAACTACGAACTACATCTATGGCTACATGATAGAGAAAAGGTAAATGATAAACTTGACATGTGTGTCAGAGTGTTGGTTTTGGAACCCCTTGTCTCTGTCGACCCCTCCTCTTATTTATAGCCCCGAGGAGGTAACCGCCATAGAAAACCGCTTGTTGGTAACTGCTACAAAGAACCGCTCCCCCTTTTTCGGTAGAAAACCGCCTCTTGGATAACTCCCAAAAAGAACCGCTCCCTGCTTCCTCAGAGTGGTGGTTACTCCTTCAACCGCCTAGGTGCCTCTCTTGGAACCGTCGTGGGTTTTGGATTATAGCTTGCCTCGCCTGGTCTTGTTCTGAATCTCGTGCCATGCTAGTCTTTTGAAGAGCATGTGGTGTCTCGCAAAGGGGGGTCGTGGTCTTCTTGCCTCGCGGCCATGGACTTCTTACTCATGTCCATGGCCTTCTTGTCTTAAGGCCATGAACTTCTTACTCATGTCCATGGCCTTCTTGTTTTACGGTCATGAACTTCTTACTCATGTCCATGGCCTTCTTGTCTAATGATCATGGACCTCTTGAGACATATTCACTAGTGATATAATGCTCCATCACCACGCCCTTCTCATTCGTGTCCATGGCCACTCTTGTGAAGTGGCATGGACTTCTCAATCATGCACAAGGCCCCTCTCATGAGGCGGCATGGCCTTTTCATACTTAGTATTTTCAATCATTTCAAATGCTTCTTGCTTCGCGTCCATGGCCATCACATGACACGGCCATGGACCTCTTAATCATGCACATGACCCTTCTCGTGAGGCGGCATGACCTTCTCAGACTTAGTATATTTTGGATCATGAGGCGACATGGCCTCCTCATTAGCGGCCATGGACTTCTCAGTCATGTCTGTGGCCCTTCTCGTGGCACAGCATGGCCCTCTCATACTTAGTATCTTTTCTTGCGTCCATGCCCCTTCTCGTGAAGTGGCGTAGACGTCTCATCTTGTCTCGCGTCCATGCCCCTTCTCATGAGGCGGCACGTGCTTCTCCTTGAAGTGGCATGTACCTCTTCCAGACTTAGTTTATTTTTCAGTCATTAGGCCTTGGTCATGGGGCGGCATGGCCTCTTCATTCATGGCCATGGACTTCTCATACTTAGAAATTTTCATGTCATCTCGTGGCATGGCATGGCCTCTTACGAGAGGCCCATGTCCCTTATTGAATCATGTCCATGCTCATTAATGAGCTAGTGACTTGGGTTTAAAATCAATATCCATAAGGCCCAATTTAAACAACATTAATTGTTATAATGGGTGTGGCCTTATAAACTCCTTGATTATCTTGTAACTCACCAATGTGGTACAAGACAAAATTTATGGTGTAAACACCCATGCACTTGTTATTAGGGGTGTCAGTTTGGGTCGGGTTCGATTACTCAAACCGAAACCCGAAAATCCGAAATCGAAAATCACTAAAACCGACCCGAACCCGATAAGGACTTGTGGGTTCCGGTTATCCGAAACCCGAAAATTTCTTATCGGGTTCGGGTTCGATTAAAGCAAAACCGAAACCCAACAACGTGAACGCCTAAAAATACGGGCTGAGTTCTATTCATTGGAGGTTTTTAGCCGAAACCCGAAAAACCGATAAGCAAAACCAAACCCGAAACGAACCCGAAAAACCGAAAATGTATATAATCGGGTCGGTTTCGGGTAAACCCAAAAAACCGAACCCGAATAGACACCCCTACTTGTTATATCTTTTCAATAAAAAATAATAATGTTGATAAGTGAACACAGACACACCAACCCACTAGTAGAGAGATATCACCAATCACTAAAATATAGTTATAACCTTGTTCACATACATTCTTAACAAGGTGGATCAACTTAACTCGGTTTTCGATTTTAGTATTTGAAAAAATAGGAATCGTAAAACAGATAGTTTCTTAAATGATTTTAATCGGTACTAAATCAAAAAAAAGTTTTGGCTCGATTCGGTTTAAACCCTAACACCGGAATGAATAAACACCCTCCTTCCCTAACGTCGTCGTTTAACTCAAATTAAATTAAACTAAAATAAATCTACTTAAATCAGCTCTCAGTGGACAACCCCTCCTCACTCCCAAGTCTCAATTCAAATATCCCACAGTCTGTCATCCTCCATTCTCCCAAACCGGATCATCATGTAAATATTTTTTGTTGCAACCAGATCAGTTTATATGATTCGATTTTTTATTTAACCAAAAAATCAAGAACCAAAATTCAACCCTATATATAATATACTCAGCTACCAACTTATTATCTAACACCCTATACTCACAAATTACACATAACTTCCCAAACAAATTTAAAATTACATTTAGGTCATATAGGCTATAGATTATAGAACTCCCCACCCAGAAATTAAATTAAAGAATAGGGGGAACTGAAAATGCTAGTTATGGCATGCAAAGTGCTCAAGGCAACCTAATTATCACGGGCCCATATATGACATGATAATATACGCACCCAAGATAGCAACACACATGGTGACATATCATATGAGGAATGATAATGTAAAAATAAATTCTTATTGTTGATAATCGTTTTCGTATGGTGATAATGTTCAAATTATGTTTTCCTTTTTATGTTTGTCTATAACAAATTCATACCATCTCGCCGTTCATTTTTCCCCGTTGTTGTTGATAAAATTGTTCAAGTTTCATTAATTAATAACTTACTATGGTAAAATTACTATTAGTTAATATAGTCGGAATCGTGAAAAATATTAATTCATTATATTTATTAATTGATGAAAATAACTAATTTATAAAATTTAAAAGTTTATAACAATGTATATGATTAACATGAGCGACTTTATAAACCTTAAAATCATATTGGTCGAAGTGGGAATGCCACCAATAAGGCAATAATATTAATTCATGTCTTCTCTACAGGATCCTGTCGCACTCTTAATTAGTGCTGCTACTTAAATCAGCTCTCAGTGGAAAACCCCTCCTCAATTTTGTTTTCCTTTCATTTCAGCTATATTTGATGAAGTATCTATCAATCTTCATACTATATATATAGAGTGTAAATTAAAATAGTGTGGGTTTTATAGGGTCAATTTCCAGGAACCATCCAATAGTTGGAGTAGGATCACTGAATCACGCCAGTAGTAATTGTGGGTGTATTTTCTCCCACAACATCCTAGAAATCAGAAATTATATTAAACATAAAAGTAGTGGTTATTAAAAGTGAAATCCACATATGTTTATAACTTAATAAGATGAAATATCGTTGTTGTCCAGGTTTTCAGTCACTTATGTCAGTAATTAGCCCTTAATTAACACCTACTTCACATTAAGATGACATATATGGTATGGGCATTGACCTTCAGCACCCTAAGACGCCGATGATCAGTAAACGAATTCTTATTACGATTTGAAGGTAGTTAGCCACAGTCACGGATATATTTTATTTTATATACATACAGTAAGTTACATGCTGCAGATAGCTTCCAGCTCGGGATTTGAGGCTTCTTTAGGAGAGATGAAGCTTCTGGGAAAGAGATGAGTACTAGTAGGGGTGTCAGTCGGTCGGTTTCGGTTTAACCGAAAATTGAATTCTCGGTTATCGGTTATGTTAGAATATGACTTGAATTTGATTTAGGTTTGTTTTGTGTTTTAGGCCTATTTTGTTTGGCTTTGGGATTGGATTTTGTTTTGACCTTTTCCTTGTATGTTTGGGAAAAGGTATTTGGTTTTCTGTTTGGGATTAGGAGAAGAGTTCTATAAATACTCTTCATCACCCTAGTCTGTAGCAAGGTCAGTCGGGTTAGTTTGTTTTGGTTTGTCCGTTTGGAATTTGGTTTGTAACCTGTACTCTCCTCAAATCAGTGAAATTTGTCCCCCCTGCCCGTGGATTAGCTAGCACACATTGTGTTAGTGAACCACGTTAAATTTGTGTTCGTTCGTGCTGGTTTGGATTATCGATTGCCACGCTTCTGTTCTGACAGGTTAAACCGAGCCAACTCCAATGGCTGCCGACCACCGACCGTGAGGGAAGAAGTGGTTAACCGGCCAACCGACTGGTTAGTTTCGGTTTTAGGCTCGGTTAGCCGAGCAGGGATGGGCTTAGTTCTGAAAAAAAAAAATAAAGCGAAGGAAAGGAAATCCTTCCGGCTCTTTCTCTTTCTTCTTTCTTTCCTTTCCTTTCTGTCTCTTTATCTTTCTTTCTTTCCATCTCTTCCTTCTTTCCATCTCTTTTTTCTTTCCTTTTGCCAGATCCAGATGCGAAGGCGGAGCGCGGGGAAGCAGGGAAGCGGCCAGCGGAGGTGGAGATTGGGGGAGATGGCGAGCGGAGGCGAAGGCGGAGGTTGACGGGGTCCGGGGAAGGTTTCTGGTACCGGTGGTCTGTGATTTGGTGGATGAGGTGGCGGAAGGGGAGATCGTTTATGAGGGAGATGGGGGCAGAAGTGGCTAGTTTCAGGTTTGGGCTTGCACATAAGGGGGGTTTTGGAGTTTTGGCGAGAGGGTTCGGTAACTCGGCTAACCAACCGCTTTCGTTGTCGGTTACTCGGCTATCTGACCCCTCTCGCCGAGCCTCCGAACACCGACCGCCTTCAGTTATCCCGGTTTTCGGTTACAAGATAACTGACCGATTTCAGTTGTAACCGATCAGTTATCAGACAACCGACAACCAATTTGCCAGCCCTAAGTACTAGTTTGTTATTATGCAAAACACATCAATTATTTAGAGGCTAGAGCTACTCATTTTTCTGGTCCACGCTTTGCGGCGGTTATAAACGGATTATTTCATTTGGTAACGAAACTTTATCCGCTCTTTTAATAATTAGTTTTAAATGAAATTATTCATAAAATAGTTAAAATAAGACACTTTTATAGCCACAATTTTCACGTTTGTGACAAATTTAACCACAACTTACGAAGTACACAGAGTATCCATTTCCATCCATCCTATTAACGATGTCACTTAAATGTAAGAAGAAGAAGATAGAGTATGCAATCCGGGTCCTTCGCCCGTTCGCTGCCGCCATCAACATCATCTTCATCCCTTCTTTCCTCCACCTAATTAAGACGAAACTGAGAGCAAACTCGCCGAGATCCGGAGTCGGCACATTCGCGAACTCGTCGAGATCCGCTCCGACAAGACCCGCTGACTATTCTTCTTCTACTTCGTCCGCAGAGCAAGGAAGAAGGTCAATTGTTAGAAGCAAAGATCTAGTATACTGGGGATGTGGAGGAAAATTTAGATCCAGCTTTGGGATATGGTCATCCTTGACAACCACGGGCTCAGATCACTGGTCTGGTGGTGGTTCACATCGACGACGGAAGGCGATGGCGAATGAAACTCTCCAGAGGCAGGACAGAGGACTTCGATGATGGCATGAATCGGCGAGATGACTTCTCCAGCTCAGATTCCGCTCTTATCTGGACACTTACGAAGTAGCAGCGGGTGACGGAGGCGGCTCCTTGCCGGGAATGCAGGAGGTGATTGCGGCGAGGAAAAGGGAGATGGACCAGATTGAAACTGGGAGCCTGAGCATAGCCATAGAGGTTTGGGTTAGGGAGGAGAGAGCGGAGATTCAGGAAAGAAGGGTGTGTTAGTAAACGGTATATGATCTACGATTAAACCTCTCCCAACAACTCGAATTATTGGGATTAACTGATTCTTGACATAGTATGAGAGCCTTATATGACCGACAGGTCTCCTGTTCGAATCTCGATAACCCACATCGGTTTCTGTTAAGCACATTGTGCCCGGAGCTGTGCAAACTTCAAGCCCATTATATTGTTGGTGGCTTTCGTTTGAGTGGGTGTGTTAGTAAACGTTATATGATCCACGATTAAACCCCGCCCAACAACTCGAGTTATTGGAATTAACTGGTTCTTGACAGGGTGGCAGTCAAAAGCCAGATATACTTGTTAGAATGGGTTAAATTTCCAAAAATACTAGAGTTTAGAGTAGTTTATCGGAGTGTTCAGTGAACTAGTCTCTAGTTCGCAGGAGTAAGGAGTGAAAAACTATGGATCTAGGCTTTGAAGATCTTGAAAAGTTATAGAAAATAAAAAAAAATCGCTACGGTCGGATAACTGAGCGCAAAGTTATGATCACTGGAAATTTCGACCTAGGTTAGGAGTAGATGGCGAGGCTCATCATCAATCTGGAATGGTACACTAGGGTGTGTTGCGACCCATATTTTTCTTAGGGTTGTCCACTTGACTCCGCCACAATCATGGCCTTTCCATTGTGGATTGCTGCAATGTAAAGCGAACTACTATCTAGTACACTTGAGAAAATGGAGCGAACTGCTCCAAACTCTAGTTTTCTTAGATTGATATAGGTTTTCATTTTTAAAGTTTGCTGCTACTTATGAGATTTGTATCTATAATCTTCTGGTTCAAAACTAGTGGTATTTCCTTGGACCAAGCTCTTGTTCCAAAAAATTCCGATATTTTGAAAATATTTTGCAGAGTGTGGTATTGTGAGAATTTTTTCCTCAACCGTTGTATATATTTTAGTATTTTCCCCCTCATTTTTATGAGTGATTAAAGATGGATAAACCCCGAATATGTTTATTAAGAAAACCATAGTACGAATAATAACATATATATCTGTTAATTAAAATGATGTGGCACACCCAAGGAAAGATGTGACTACTAGAACGTCGTCCTCTTGAATATTCTCTGCCTAATTAACATACTTTCTAAGGTGATAACTGATATAGTGTGCAGCCATTACTAAAACTCGGATAAACACTATCCGAAACATGAAAAAGAGAGTAAAAAATGCTAGGTCCAAGTTGGAACCAACTTACCAATAAATAATATCACAAATATATACTACGTACGTACCTAGGTCAAATAAATCCAGCCGCACTCTTTGTTATATCATATGATATGATTATGATAAATGATAATGGGAAATAAATTATTATTGATCATCGTTTTCATATGATGATAATGTCGCCAAATTTTGGTTTCCGTTTTATGTTTGTCTGTACTGTAACTTTTGATTGAAGGACTGATCCATAAACCAACCAATAGTTGGAGTAGGTCGGTATATCCCGCCAGTATTCCCCCTTTATTTAGTAGTTCATCTCAGCAGCAACCTAGGAACCTATGTAGTTTCCATTGTCGATCGAGATTATGGGGTAGATTCTCATCCGATAATTCCAAAAATCATTTTATCAAAATTAATTATTCTTATTATATTATGGTTAAAGTTGTTAGAAATCGAACAGAAAAATTAGGGTTACCGATCTGGCTGAGTCGCGGACTAGGTCGCTCTCTTTAAGACGTTCGCGGCACTGCCTCGTATTGCGCACATCAGACTATCAGTCGGTCGCCTCTAGGATAAAACAGCCATTCTAGTTTTCTTGCTCATCGGTTTTGTGCGAAAAACCGGAGCTCTATGAATTCACTCTCTCTCGTGTTTCTGCTCTTCTGAGGTGTGTTTAGAGGGTCTGGGTAGTCTCCTATTTATAGGAGCAGAAAACCCAGAATATTCCCTCTTTATTTGGGAATAAGTCACATTTTAATTAGGGAGATAATTACTCCCATAATTAAAATATAATCTATTAAGATAATTATTCCTAATTATCTCCATAATATTCCTTTTATTAATTATCCATCTTAATTTCGTATTATGGGGAAAATACTGGATAATTAATTAGGAATTTCATTATAGCTTTTCAAAGCTATTCATCCCAACAATCCCCCACTTGAATAGTTTGAAACTATCTATGAGCATCAACAGTTCCATAAGATCGGGCATAAGCTAAGGTATCGCGAAGATTTGAACCTTAGCGTAGTGGTTACACTTCCGATTTCATAAGGGTGACTCGTAGTCTTGAACCCTATCTCAGACAATGTAGCACACCGGATCTTTTCATTGAGTGATATTCTCTCATAGGACGTGCGTTTATGGCCATGCACGTTATCCCGGTTTAGTGAAAGCTCTAGCAACTTTGTGCCTCCAAAGTTCCATAGGGAGCGGCCCCACTCCCACATTCACATAGGTGAGTCTATCAGAAGTACCCCCAAAGTAAAGTACTTCACTCCACATAGAGTATAGATCTCATTAAGAGTTTAACTCAACCTCCAAGGCTTTGGGATTCATGCTTCACTATGCATGAACTTTTCGCATACTACTCATGACTTGTTATTACCCATTGAACCCATTTCTTCGGATCTCCAGTCTATTGGGTCGGGTTACCATCACTTGTAGTCCGTGGTTCGGTAGGCATAAGTCTCATACCCTTGGCGGTACTTTGGACTTTCTCTCTAGATAATCCTTTCGTCAAAGGATCAGCTAGATTCTGTTAGGACCTTACAGGATCCACCCTCATTGCTCCTATCGTTAGGAGTTCTCTTACAGTACTGTGCTTACAACGAATTTGTCGTCTCTTTTTGTTCTAGAACCGGTTCCCTTCTATTGCAATAGCTGCGGTGCTATCACAATTCATCAACTACCGGAGGGATCGGTCTTTCCCATAAGGGAATCTCTAGTAGTGACCCTCTCAATCAACTTTCCTCTTTACTAGTCATTGCTAGTTCTTTCATTTCTGATTTCTTAATTGATTGAGCCAGGATCGTTTACTTCTTAGACTTCCAAGACATAGCTTCTCTATCGATGTTTAAAACACAACCTCTTGTTGTCTTGGAGTCCTCTATAGGGTATTCTAATCCGCATCACTATACCCTACCAATACAGCAAAACCTTTGATAACAAATACCAAGGTTTTTCTGTTCTTTTAAGGTGTCTCACGACCCCTTTCAATAACATTTCAATGCTTCATACTAGGACAATCAATAAGCTTGCCAAGTACCCCCACTATGTCGGGTCTCATGTTTATCAGCTGCCTCACGCAGACTGTCGATGCTAGTATGTTCTTACTTTCTTACACCATATTTGGTGCTCTTAAAATTGTACTAGCATCTTCAAACATTTAGGCAAGAGTATAACTTGTATTTCTTATAGATCTTAACCAAACAGTTAGATTGGTCTATAAAAAATTTCTTTCACTGTCCTAGTCATTTGGATCTCTAAGTGAAACACTTGGATCCTTCTCATCAAGGTTCTCACTCAACATGGTTTTTCACATTTATTCGTGTCTTGAGTCTTTGCAACAAAGAAACATGTCTTTTATAGTGCAAGTGTCGTTCTCAAGTTAGTAACAAATGTATTTGCCACTTTCATTCAAAACCATGAGAGAGAACCATCCATCCATGCCATGATTTTTAAATTCTGTTGCAAATCATACCATGATTTGTCTCACCATAGACTTTAAAAGCATGTTCAGGAATAACGACCTTTTAGGTTGTCCCATTCTAGATTTCTTTATCTAAATCACCATTCACAAAATGCAATTTTAACATCCATCTGATGCATTATCTCTTATCACCTAATGTACTACATCCACCATTAGAAGACTCTTCTTGTCCTACGTATAAATGAAAGCTAAAATATTAGTGGTAATATATTTACAAATGTGAAACACTGTTTTTGCTCAACTTAAAAAAAAACATCTTCCTAAAATATTTTTCATACTATTTTAGTTCTTAGTACATATTACATGCACATATGAACTTTCCTCTAATTAATCACTTAAACTTTTAAAGTCAATCCGAATGGGATGGAAATAAATGTTTGCTTTGTGTGGGAGTTAACAAAACAAATGTTTATATTTTGGCTGGGGTGTAGCGTATGATGAAACATGTCTATAATATGTTATGTTATATGTTTTGTGTGACTTATAACTATCCTTCACATTCATCCTTAGGTTGGCCGTTTCAAAGAAACATGTCTATACAAATAGAAATTTGTAGTCATTTATTTTATATGACAGATGAAGGTCTATAGTATTGGAGTCAAATGCTCGATCTAATGGTTGTTCAAGTCGGTAAATTTGATGTGAAGGTTGACCTCTTGATTAGCTTAATATTTTTCTTATAATCTTATTACTAATAAATAATGAATACATAAAAAATAAAATGCAATAACCTTAAACTAGAAATAGAAAGAGGATTTTGCCAAAACGAAAAGAAGAAGCCCAAACATTGTAGCTGCTGCCTCACGCCTCACTGGAACAATTAAAGAGATAGAAAACAAAAAATATAAAAAGACATTTGTAGCCTCCCGTGAGATGCTCTCAGAGCTCTAATTCATGATTTAACCCACTCTTCACACGGAATCTCCTTATATAAGTGGGTAGGTAGAAGAGTGTACTTATATATGAGCTATGTGAAAATAAGAGAATAAATTGTTTTTTTTTTTTTACTAATTTTTTTCATAACGAATAAGAAAATCACGTAAACATTGTCTTGATTTCGTTTTTATTTATCTTATTGTAACAAGCAACCTTGTTAATCTCTAAGTGTAGTACCTCTCTGGTAGATGCACTCTATAAGACTAGGGATGAGAAACGGTACGGTCTGGCCCAGACCAGACCATATAGACGGTCTATAGTCCAAACCGAGATACTAAATTATAGACTAGAGACCAGACCACGCTTGTGCAGTCTGGTCCAGACATACCAAATTAAAAAAAATACTTTTTTAAGTCAACCACATTACAAATTGAACCAATAACCGAGGAAAAAATTGTTTTTTGCCTTAAAACATAAAAACCAACATGCATGAATAATTTTGACTCTCTAAATCTTTGTCAATAACAAAGATACAAAGTCAAAAAATCCCAACTCGCACCATAACGTCACAAACATTAACATAATGTCATATGAAGACATGATCGTCTCTATTCTCTAATGAAATGTGGTTATCAGTGAAGGAGGGGGACAAGATTCTCTGAATTAAGATTGAGACTTGAGTCTCGTTGAGAGAGTTGTTAGAGTGATCGAGTGGAATACGAACATGTATTGAGAAGTCGGCTAGATCCATGGTTTGGTCCGGTAAATCGCGGTTAGATCGACCATACCAGATCAAGAGTTCAAAACTTCATATAATACAGACCATGGATCAGACCAGATAATTATTCACGATCTACGATCCGGACCAAACTGTGCGGTCTGGTTTGGTCCACGATATTTCAAACGGTTTGTTCTATTTCCCCGGCCCTATATAAGACGATGGAGTAAGAGAGGCAATCAGTACCACAAATAACTATTGCGTGCATACTAACTAGGGGTGTCAATTCGGGTTCGGTTTTTTGGGTTTACCCGAAACCGACCCGTTTATATACATTTTCGGTTTTTCGGGTTCGGGTTCGTTTCGGGTTTGGTTTTGCTTATCGGTTTTTCGGGTTCCGGCTAAAAACCTCCAATGAATAGAACTCAGCCCGCATTTTTAGGCGTTAGGGTTTTCGGGTTTCAATTTTGCTTTAACCGAACCCGAACCGATAAGGAATTTTCGGGTTTCGGGTAACCAGAACCCGCAAGTCCTTATCGAGTTCGGGTTCGGTTTTAGTGATTTTCGGTTTCGGGTTTTCGGGTTTCGGTTTGGGTAACCGAACCCGACCCAAACTGACACCCCTAATACTAACCGGAAAATAGATGAATTCTTATTACCATTCGCCGGAAGCTACCAACGATACGTACACACACATATATACATTCACACACTAGCTTGTAGCTAGTCAATTACATGCTGCACGTAGCCTAGCCTAGCTACCGGAGCCACCAAGTTTGGCGGTTATCGTCATCGGAGCAAACGAACCGAGCAAAATCGAATACAACCACTTCTTCCGGCGCCACGGTCAATGAACGGCGGCAGAGTGGACACGTGGGATGGCGGCGGCGGGTGAAGAAGGAGTAGTGTGACCATCTGTCCAGACAAATTTTGTGGAACGCGTGGTGACACGTCAGCTCCGCAACCTCGTCGCCTCCTTCGATCTTGGACAAGCACACCGTGCATTCCGCTTCCTCGTCGGCCGCCCCGCCGCCGCGGGGACGGTAGTGAGCTGCTGCGGCGGCAGCGGTTGGGTCTTGAAGAAGAAGAAGGTGGGAGTGGGGGTGAGAATGGAAGAAGGAAGTGTGGAGCAGAAATTCCCATCCCCATTTCAAGTAACTGAGCATCACCGTTATGATTCCCACCATTTTCCTTGCATCCATTTCTATAGCAGCTTCCCCTCGAGATTTGAGCTTCTTTAGGAGAAATGGAGCTTCTGGGAAAGAGATGAGTACTAGTGGCGGGATGGAGCCGGTATTTATGCAAAATCATATTACGTACTGATGAGAACAAGATGACAAATGTTTAGTTTGGTATTATGCAAAGACAAATGACTTCATTATTGCGGAGGTACATATATGAGATACGATACATAAGAAATGAACTAACCATTCAACTTTCATAAGTTTTACATGGTGTATTTTATAATTGTTATTCAAACGGTGTTAAGTAATCTTCCGTAACGTGTGGTCTGATAATAAAATATAGTTACAGAATCTCATATATGATTGAACTGTTGTGTAGGACTGATTTATTATAGAAGCCATAATTTACGTAATGCAAATTGATGAAATGCTTAATATAATAGGTAATAGTAAAATAATTTTTAGTTAATAATAAGACAATAGAATTATAAAATGTTTCGAATTTTATTAATTTATTATGTAAGACATAATCTACCTTACAAATCCTTTTGGTCTTGCAAATTGATGAAACGGTCAACAATTTAGTGAATAACTTACGAATTTCCATTCAAACTTATATCATGAAAGACTTATGTAATATGTTTGTTTAATTGGTACATACGAACTTATTATCACTCGTATTGTCTTAATCATTAAGACTTATGTTTGTACTTTTTTTATTACAAAGATCGGGTATACTTATTATGCATATGCTCATTATATGTACATTTTCCAAAATACAAGGATTGAAGAAAAAACGGCACAATACAACACTTAGGCAAAAAATTTATCAAAATACTAGAGTTTGGAGCAGTTTATTGGAGTGTTCAGCGAATTAGTCTCTAGTTCGCTGGAGTAAGGAGCAAAAAATAGTGGATCTTGGCTTCAAATATCTTGAAAAGTTATAGAAAAATATTAAAAAAATTCGTTACGATCGGATAACCGAGCGCAAAGATTTGATAGCTGAAAATTTTGACCTAAATTTGGAGTTGATCGCAAGGGTCATCAACAATCTGGAGTGGTTTACTAGGGTGTGTTGTGAAGGACACCCAACAGTAAAGCCGTGCAGGTTTGGCCCAAAGCGGACAATATCGTACTAATTGAGCAACCAGGTCATGACAAGTCAAATCCTTGCCTTTCGAGTGTGGATTGCTCCAATGTAAAGCGAATTAGCGAACTACTACCTAGTACACCTGACAGTGGTTTCGCACCTGGACCAAACCTTTGTTCGCAAAGACTTTAGTATTTTGGAAGTATTTTGCAAAGTATGGGTATTGTGATAATTTGTTTCTCGACCCTTTGTATATATTTTAGGACTTTCTTCCTCATTTTATCGAGTGAATAAAGACTTATAAAACACAAAGTATGAATATGGTTATTAAAAAGAACATAGTATAGTAATACATATCTGTTAAATAAAATGATGTGGCATTGGCACACCCAAGGAAAGATGTGACAACTAGAAAGTCATCCTTGAATATTCTCTGCCTAATTAACGTACTTTCTAAGGTGATAACGGATAAGAGCGTGCAGCCATTACAAAAACTCAGATAAACACTATCCGAAACAAGGAAAAGAGAGTAAAAAAATGCTAGGTCCAAGTTGGAACCAACTTACCAATAATATCACCCATACAGGCGATCGATAATGCATGCGCACGAAAGATTAGTAAATAGCAGGTAGCGAGGTAGCACATGTATCCGTAGGTCAAATAAATCCAGCCGCACTCTTTGTTCTCGTATGATTATACACTAATTAATTACAATGTAAATAAAATTATAGGGTGTGCCTACTATGATATGCATGTCACGGTGACTTGTACTTTTCGGTCGACCTTAGTTAGGATTACGTCGACCTCATGTAGGATTAGGTTGACCTCATTTAGGATTAGGTACACCTAATCGGTCGTTTCAGTGTAAAAACAGTTTCATTGTGCCTACTTTGGAGATTCATATCTTACAATTGGCTCGATGGAAATTGGAGATTAATGGCTTGTTTTGAAGCTGGAGTGTCCCTCTACATATTCAAGTGCTTGGGAGCTCGATAGGAAGTCCAGAAGACCATTTTTGAACTTGATCAAAAGGCTATGCCAAAACTGGAAAACTGGCTGAAAATTGCTAAGTCTGGGAAAGTGTTTGTGAATCCTACTTTGGAGCTCAATTCGAGAAGCATGGATGCGACTCGAGTCCAGGGGCCTCTACCACGTTAAATTAGGTATGTTTTTTATACAAAATCAAGTCATTGGATCAAAGATTGGATATCTGTAAGGCTTCAAACAAAAGGGTCAAAGTTGCTACGAAGACTGTTTTCTGGCAGACTTCGAGCACAAGCAAGCTGCCAGAAAAACAGCCTTCGTAGCAACTTCGACCCTTTTGTTTGAAGCCTTACAGATATTCAATCTTTCATCCAATGCCTTGAATTTGTATAAAAATGGTGTTCTAGACTTCTTATTGATCTCCCAAGTACTTTAATGTGTAGAGGGACACTTCAACTTCAAAACAAGCCATTGATCTCAAATTTTCATCTAGCCAATTGTAAGATATGAATCTCCAAAGTAGGCACCATAAAACTGTTTTTGCACTGAAACAAAACAACAGATTAGATCGACCTAATCCTATATGAGGTCGACCGAAAAGTGCATGTCACCGTAGCAAAGTACTAAAATTATTATTGATCATCGTTTTCATATGACGATAATGTCGCCAAATTTTGATTTCCGTTTTATATATGTTGTCTGTAACTTTGATTGAAGGACCACTCAATGAGCCAACCAGCAATAGTTGAAGTAGGTCGGTAGAAACCCGCTAGCATCCCCATTTCTTTGTTTAGTAATTAATCTCAGCATCTGCCTAGGATTACGTACTTAGTTTCAATTGTCTAGATTGTTTATAAAATTTCTCCCGATATATCTAAATATTTATTTGTCAAGATTGAACACTAATATTCAATAGTGGTCCTCACATTCCTCCTTGTAAGTGGAACACAATTCGCACATATATATCACATAGTGTATGTGATATATATATCCTCATCTTTGCCCGGTCTTTGCTTTTTTTCTTCCAACTTTCGACTCCGAGTTTGGTTTTACCTATTAGGATATGAAACACACTAAAACACAAGCAACCTCGCATAAAATCAACCTTTTTAAAGTTCAATTGCAACAATTTGCGTTCAATCTTGTGTTTCAATATTGAACACAATTCACACATATACATCACATACACTAGCTAGCTAGTCAATTAAATGCTGCACGTAGCCTAGCTACCGGAGCCACCATGTTTGGCGGTCATCCCCATCGGAGCAAACGAGCCGAGCAAAGTCGAACACGACCACTTCCTCCGTCGCCCCGGTCAATGAACGGCGGCAGAGTGGACACGTGGGATGCCGCCGGCGGGTGAAGGAGGAGTAGTTTGAGCATCTGTCCAGACAAACTTTGTGGAACGCGTGGTGACACGTCAGCTCCGGGACCTCGTCGCCTCCATCGATCTTGGACAAGCACACCGCGCATTCGGCTTCCTCGTCGCCGGCTGCCCCACCGCCGTGGGGACGGTAGTGAGCTGCCGCGGCGGCGGCGTAAGTTGGTTCCTGAAGAAGGTGAGAGTGGCCATGGAAGAAGCAAGTGTGGAGCAGAATTTCCGATGCCCATTTCAAGTAACTCAACATCAGCGTTATGATTCCCACCACTTTCCTTGCATCCATTTCTTACTCGCCGGCCGGAGAGAGCTGCAGGGAATTAAAGAGATCGAGCAAGAGGAGAAGAGTGGAGTGGAGTGGAGTGGGGATGGATATAATTGGAGTGCGGGGGCGGCCGATACTTATAAAGAAAGAAAGAAAGAAAGAGGTCATAATATTCTTGATGAGTACAAGACAAAAGTTTAATGAACTGAATGAATAATTTAAGATCCACGTTGACGTACGTAATAATGCCGCGTTTTTTTTTTTTTTTATTTCTCGTGTTTCCTTGTAGATTCCGATAAGGGAATATTGGTGGGTTGCATTTGCATGTGTCCGTCCTTGTGCATAAACTCTGACAAATATTCTTTTTCCCTGGTGGGGAATAGGGGGTGTTCATTCGGGTTCGATTTTTCGGGTTTACTCGAAACCGATCCGATGAGATATATTTTCGTTTTTTCTGGTTCAGATTTATTTCGGGTTTCGATTTTTTAGGTTTCGGGTTTTCGGGTTTCGTCTGAAAACCTCCCAGAAATAGAACTCGGCCCGTATTCTTAGGCATTCGGATTTTTGGATTTCCGTTTTGCTTTAACCGAACCCGATAAAAAAATTTCAAATTTCGGGTAACCGGAAACCGAAAATCCTTATTGTGTTCGGGTTCGGTTTCCAAATATTTCGGGTTTTCGAGTTTTTTCGGGTTTCGGTTGGGGTAACCGAACCCGACCTGAACTGACACCCCTAACTGGGAAAGGCCACCAATAAGGCAATAATATTCGGTCTTATATCCTATTTGGTTTTGTTGTATTGCATATACTCTGCAGGATCCTGTCGCATTCTTAGTGCTAGTAGTTGGATCGCTCATGTTCTTCCTTCTTGCTCCCATTACAAAATCATGCAAAACGTGTAAAGTGAACGGTGACAACAAATGTGTATTAGATAGAGACTGTTCATTGGGGAAAATCTGTCTTGGCGCACTTTTACACGCTGATTTATTTGCACCATTATTAACTACCTTTTATAACATCAACAAAGCAAAAGTATAAGGTTATAATCCAAGAAAATTGGAGTGTCAAACGCGTTTAATTACCATCACTTTCTTCAACCTTAGGTTTTTGGTAAGAGTGAGCACTTGCAGAAAATTTCTTGCATCTTCCACACCCAATATTACTAAGTTGTACTTTAATGAGTTCTGAATCAAGTCTTCCCGTACAAATTTGTCACAAACTTGCCTTTAGCTAGGCCAGATCACAAGGTCATCTTCTCAACATGATACAAGAATGTGACTGGTATATAACATGGTTGTATCAACTTCGAAACAAGTCTTAAAGTAAGAGCACTCTTTAAACGATTGGTTAGCACTTTCAGCAGTTTGACTACACAAAACGTACCACAAATACCATCTCTCCTTTAATACCTGCTACAATCTTCATAATGCCAACGGTTTTGATAGCATGAATGGGGTTTAATTTAATTTTTTGATATGACTTAGAATCTGTTTATCTAACCTACAATTGAGATTCTTGAGGGTATTATTGTGGATCCAACGGTGTATGCACTTTACGGCTCTATGTTCCGATTCATGTAAGTTTTTTGACCTTTTTCATTAACTCATTTAACTAAATCTTCTAAGAGAAACTTGACAATGTTGATAAGCACCGGTATTTTCAGGCACAAGTTAAATTTGTTCCATTTCTATGTTGTATCTTGTACACTTTCCTTGAACTAGAGTTGCAAATGAGCCGAATCAAATCAATCTTTTTCTATCTAGTTTGGCCCTAGGGCTACAGATTAGCCGATTGTTATACCTTGTAAACCTTGGCTTGCATTTTGCTCAAGCTCGACTCGAGCTTGGATCATCAATTACCTCGCAAGATCGGTTGGAGCTATGGTATCATATCATTTAGTTCATATTTTTTTTATAAAAATCTGCGCTAGGCTTTATTAAGAGTGTGAAGCCATTACAGAATCCAGCTCCAGCTGGTCAAGCAAACACGAGGGAGGTCGGTCAAACCAGACTTCGACCCCGTTCCATCTCGTCTCCACGTGTGCCATAATATGGGCCGCTGCATTTGCTGTTCGGTAGACATGTTTGTATTCCCCATCTCCCAATTCCTCAAGGAGCCGCTTAATATTTTTGCATATCACTCCCAGCTCGGTAGACATGTTCATTCGGGTTCGGTTTTTCGGGTGTACCCAAAACCGACCCGATGAGATACATTTTCGTTTTTTCAGGTTCAAATTTATTTCAGGTTTCGATTTCGGGTTTGGTTTTGCTTATTGGGTTTTCGGCTTCCGTCTGAAAACCTACAAGAAACAGAACTCAGCCTGTATTCTTAGGCATTCAGGTTTTTTGGTTTTGGTTTTGCTTTAAGCGAACCCGAACCCAATAAAAAATTTTTGGATTTCGGGTAACCGAAAATCGAAAGTCCTTATCGGATTCGTTTTCCAGTTATTTTGGATTTTCGAATTTTTTCGGGTTTCGATTTGGGTAACCGAACCCGACCCGAACTGACACCTCTAACTGGGGAAGGCCGCCAATAAGGCAATAATATTCGGTCTTATGTCCTATTTGGTTTTGTTTTTTTGCATATCCTCTGCAGGATCCTGTCGCATTCTTAGTGCTAGTAGTTGGATCGCTCATGTTGTTCCTTCTTGCTCCCTTCACAAAATCATGCAAAACGTGTAAAGTAAATGGTGACAACAAATGTGTATTAGATAGACACTGTTCATTAGGGAAAATCTGTCTTGGCGCACTTTTTACGCGTTGATTTATTTGCACCATAATTAACTACCTTTATTACAACATCAACAAAGCAAGCAAGTATGGTTATAAACTTATAATCCAAGAAAATTGGAGCGTCAAACGCGTTTACTATCACTTTCTTCAACCTTAGACGTGGTACGAGTGAGCGAGCACTTGCGGAAATTTCTTGCATCTTCCACACCCAATATTAATTACTAAGTTGTACTTTAAGGAGTTCTGAATCAAGTCTTCCCATGCAAATTTGTCACAAACTTGCCTTTAGCTCGGCCAGATCACAAGGTCATCTTCTCAACATGATACAAGAATGTGACTGGTATATAACATGGTTGTATCAACTTCGAAACAAGCCTTAAAGTAAGAGCACTCTGAAAACGATTGATTAGCACTTCCAGCAGTTTCGCTACACAAAACGTGACCCACAAATACCATCTCTCCTTTAATACCTACTACAATCTTCATAATGCCAACGGTTTTGATGGCATGAATGGGGTTTAATTTGTTGATATGACTTAGAATCTGTTTATCTAACCTACAATTGAGATTCTTGAGGGTATTATTGTGGATCCAACGGTGTATGCACTTTACGGCTCTATGTTCTGATTCATGTAAGTTTTTCGACCTTTTTCATATACATTTAAGAGAACTCATTTAACTAAATCTTGTAAGAGAAACTTGACAATGTTGATAAGCACTGGAATTTTCAGGTACAAGTTGAATTTGTTCCATTTCTATGTTGTATCTTGTACACTTTCTTTGGACTAGAGCTGCAAATGAGCCGAATCAAAACAAATTTTTTTATCTAGTTTAACCCTAGGCCTACAGATGAGCCGATTGTTACATCTTGTAAACCTTGGCTTGCGTTTGGCTCAAGCTCGACTCGAGCTCGGATCATCAATTACCTAGCAAGATCGGTTGGAGCTATGGTATCATATTATTTGGTTTATATTTTAAATTATTCATATCATTTTTTTATAATTAGTAACTCAGCAATTTATGATACATAATTTATCTTTTTAAATACAAATGAGATATATTTAAACGCGTGTTGAAATTCTTAAACATCATGTGTTATGAGATATATATAATCTAGGGCAAATACCACTAGGAAACCCGAACTATTAACTTTGTGTCATTTGTGCCCTAAAGTATTCGATATAACATTTGTGTCCTAAACTATTTTTCCGTTAGAGTTGACTGGCGTTGACCGTTAGTTTTAACAGAAAGTCTAGTCAGCGCTTATGTGGCATCTGACGTGGAATTTATAACATTAATTTATAATTATTTTCTATAAATATTAATAAACTAAAATAAAAAATAATTACAAAATTAAAAAACTATCTCCTCCAGACTCCCAACTTCTTCCTCTTCTCTCGTCAATTCCATCCGCCACATAGCTGTCAGACTCGTTGTTACTGAGGCGGTTACTGCGTGGCCTAAGCTTGATGGCCGTTCCAAATAGCCGCCAGAGGGGGCTTCGATTGAGGTCGAGTATGGAAAGGAGCCAGAGAGAGAGAACCAAAGGGGAGATCAATCGTAGTGGAGGAGCGGAGCAGATGATTTTCCGCAGCGACCGCCATCGACGCATCCGCCAACTCTACCTCTGCGACCGATGTCGCTGTTGAGTTGGAGGTTTTGAAGCTTGGTTTCGACATGGAGGTGCTTCCACCTACAACAGATCCGATTTTTGCATCAATTCATATAAAAAACAGATTAATTTATTGGCAGAGAGAGACAAACACGAACGAAGAATCCAATTTCGGAGGTCAACTTAGAGAAGAGGATAGAAGAAATTTGTCAAGAGAGAGATTGAGGGGGTTTACCAGCCGGGTGGAATCTTTGAGGGAGTTGAGGTGGGATGTTTGTCGAAGATGAATCTTCCTCCAGAAAGAACAAGCGCCGCTCGCCTAAGGTGTGATATTTCCCCACTCCTCCCCTGTCCCCAGGCGCTGCCGTCGTGGAGAACCCAGCAACGCGATTCTCCACTCCTCCCTTGTCCCCAGGCACAACACGATTCTCCACTCCTCCCCTGTCCCCAGCCGCTGCCATCATGGAGAACCCATCAAAGCGATTCCCGATTCCGTCGTCGCTCTCCCTCTCTTCGCCCAATTGGTTTCTCCACCACCAACGGGATCCACTGCTCCCACTGTCGTCTTCACCGGTGGCGGCGGCGGCTTACAAAGGCGGAGAAACCAATAATTTTAGGGTTTCTTTTACTTTTTTGTGCTTTTGTTATTTTTTAAAATAATTAAATTTTGAACAAAAAAATAATATTTAATGATGGGGCATCTACATGGCAACAAGCTTTTTTGCCACGTCAACAAATCTGTGACA